CTGAAATTGTCAATCTTCAGGTCTTGCTAATTATGAAGTATGACCAATTTGATAAGAACATTATAGTTAATCAGTACCCTACAATGAAATGCATATTCATTCTCCACTCTGTGCAAATTATCTGCTTCAGGTCACCATGGGCACCTATTCGTGTGCAGCAAGGCTGCTCCAATGTGCTGTAATTACAGCATGTTGGAGCAGACTTGATTAATCAAGTCTGCTGAAGTGTGGTATTACCATGCTCCAGCAGGCTCCGCTGTCATGTGCATCAGCATTCTTGCACTGAAAAAGTGGTGGTGGGGTGCTTTAACTAAAGCTCATTCAATAAGCTTTAGTTAAAAAGGTACCCCTGCTGCCTTTTTTCAGTGCAAGGATGCCGATACATGATGCTGTGGGCACTTTAGGTAGAGCAGCTCTTTGAGCTGCTCTAATTAAAGCCCCCTCCTGGAGCAGGTCTATTAAAAAAACAAAACACCCCACACCACTATTTTTACACCAGTTGCTAAAATCCCAATTGTCATATACAGGGTCATTGAGCCTGGACGCCACCTTTTAAAATTAAAACAATACCTGTTCGCTCCACTGGTGATGTATTGCCTCACATTTTAAGGTACCGTATTTACCCACATACTACATGCACTTCCCCCCCCCCCACCCCACTATGAGGAATATGAATAATGAGGCAGCACCTGTCATAGTACTAAACGTTCCCCATACATTTTTCATAGGATAAAATTTGCCAGAAACTGGCGCCAGTTTGACAGTAACTCTGAAAGGGTCAACAATGGACTGTCCCTCCTCAGCTTCTCTGTCTGTCAGGAAGTAGGTCAGCTATCTTGTAGCACGGTGTCTCCATTAAGAATCCAGTTCTAGGCCATGACTCTAGAAAAGTCTTTTGTTCCCTCATTCTGCTGAAAACAAGGTGCGTGTCTTATTTGGGGCATGCAGTATACAATAAATTATGGTACTTATAAAACATTCAGGTATCTAGCTATTATAAAAACAAAGTCAAATAGATGAATCTATTAATCCACTCCACCCGAAATGGAACGTTTAACATCTTTTTCAATAATGTAAGAGGAGGTAGTACAAAGTACAACACTGCCCCACCTTCTACCCGACTTTAGACCAACATAGCTAAATGCCTCTTTCAATAATATGGACTCTGCCCTTTATAAAGGCTTTGCATGCCTATATTCATAAAAACACACCACACACCACCACCACCACCACCACATTGCAAGTAGGCTGTTAGGGTCATATTCCCCACCCCTCAAAAAGGTGATAGAAGAACTTTGTCCATTCCACACCAACCAACCTAGAGTTTAAGAGGAACCTGTTGTTAGACTTTAATAGTCAAAAGGCTTAAGGGGTTTGTCAAGCAAGCTTTAGTTAAAGTACCATTGCTGCCATTTTGAAGCACAGGGACATGGATACAAGATGCAGAAGCTGGCTGGAGCACACTAATTAGCATGCTCCAGCAGACTTGAGTAATCAAGTCTGCTGTAATTACAGCGTGTTGGTGGCAACCTCCCAGAACATTTTACAGGCACACTTAGAAGGTATGTGCTTCTGAAGTGGAATCTAGACCTCTTAGTGAGGTGCCCAGGCTCCCTGAGGAAAAAAGTTAAGTGCTTCAGAAGCGTGATCCAAAAAAAAACACAAACATTTATTGAGCATGGAACTGCCTAGATGTAGCCAATGAGAAAAAAAAAAGAAAAAAAAAAAAAACCACTGCCTCTGGGCCTCAGACATTCGATTCAGGCTGTAGGCAGCTTTGGTCACTTAAGATTCCAGGCTGTGAATCGTATCCTGGAAGACAGATGTCTACATTTATTTCCCTCCCCGCCCCACAGGAAGGAGAGGGATTGTTCTTTCTTTAATAGGCTCATGGCCATGGTGCCCAGCTTATGGAAGCAAGTGTTTAACAGAAAGAGGTAGACACTAGACAGGGGTTTGACACCCTTTATCTCCCAGACCTACATATGAAGCTAAAAGTTGTTCTACAATAAGGGCAGGGATTCTCTACCTCCTTGTTTAAGCTACTGCACTGCACAGCAAGAAGTGCAAGATTCACCAAGACAGAGAGAAAAAGAATGCAAAAGGAAAATTCTCAAGAGATGGGAAACATGTAGCAGTCAAATCTAGTGATTCATACACTAGCTTGAAGTTGCTAGATCACAGTCTTTTGGCTTGTTGAGGTGTTTCCCCTAAACTTGACACATCAGTAGCAACCCATCATGCTGACTACAGATAAAACTATTACTCTCTCTCTGAATGCTGTTTTCCTATTTGATAACAGGCAAAGCTATTCCCTTTGGGGCAAACACTGCATGGTGCCAGCGGTGGAATTTTAGCGGAAGGCTTGAGAATAAAGTGAGTGCGAGGTCTACGGGACTTACTGAGAAAACAATATAAATCAAAAGGCTACAGTCACCGAGAGACATTTACAGTACCAGTCAATGAGCCTTCAGAACAGTGCACACCCATGGTCATCATGCCAAAGCCTTTTCTTGATGTGCACATTTGCCTTGATATGTTGACATTCAAGGAGACCATGGAATTTTTATCTTACACTTTTTACACACACACTCCAATGCCAGCAGTTGACAACGTACCCAGTTGCAAGATATTTAAATCTTCAGCAAAACTGATGCTAACTTGGGGTTTTGGCAGATACCACTCTGCTAGGAATTATCTGCTCTCACTGGATTCATTTCTCTGCTCTGAAGATACTAAATCAAACACCTATGGTTTGAAGTATTTCAAAATAGGATGAGTTATAAAATGTTGAAAGAAAAGGTAATTTGGCATCTTGACAACAGTCAGGTTGTGGCTTTACCACAGATAGCCTACAGCAAGTCAGCTGCACAGAGTAGTGCATATAGTTCAAGAGGCTGGACATGCTCTGAATACTCACTTTTGTTTATATGAGAGTTGCTAGCGTGAAATTCCTGGGCCACAGAATTGCTGGTGTCAGTATACACTCATGCAAGAGCAGAACGGAAGCCATCTACAGAATGGCTGAGCCTGCCAATGTCATTGAGCTCAAGTATTATTTAGGTAGTAGCCAACTGCCCATCAAGAATGACCCGGGGGGGGAGAAAGAGGAAAGAGAGAGACACGGCCACTGCACCCAATCCCACAGCACTGCTGCCTCCCAGGCATGTGGGAGGGGGTAAGCTTGCATACAGAAGCTGCAGCTGCCACCCAGTCCCCATGCTGCCGCTGCTGCACATCCAGCCACGCACAGCCCTCTCTGTGCCAGCTCCCCTCCCTCCCACCTGGCTGTTCCCAGAGCCCAGCAGTGGTGCCACCACTGAACCCCCCCCCCTTCCCGTTCCCTCCCCGATGGCTTTTGTCAGGGCCCAGCCGCAGTGGGGAAGAGGGGCGGAGGGGCACAGTCCCCTCCCTCCGTTCCTACAGTCATGGCAGTGCTCCACCTTCCCAGTCCATCCCCACTACCCCCCC